CCGGGCAGGCCCCGCTCCCCCGCCCGCCCGGCGCCCCCGCCGATCTGGAGTCCGGCCCGCCGGCCCGGCCCAGCCCCGCCCTGCCGCCCCCTCCCGCCGCCGCGGCGACCAATGCCAAGCAGCAGCAGCCGCCGCCGCCGCCACAGCAGCGACAGCAACCGCCCGCAGCGCCTCCCGCGAGGACGCGCAGGAGGGATTCGGATGGAGGGAGGCCGAACGGGCAGCCGGCCGCGGCGCCGCTGCCGCAGCTGCAGGAGGAAGAGGATGTGCCGGAGCGGCCGGCGCACGTGAAGTACGAGCTTCGTGACTCTCCTGGAATATGTAAGTGCCCGAAGGAGGAAAGCCGAAACATCCACGGTTCCGATGAGAGTTATACAGCTTGCTAATGTGTGGATTTTTGAGCTGTGCTGCAGTTCCAGTAGTGATATACGGATTCCAGCATTACATCTCCATGCTCGGGTCGATCATCCTGGTCCCGCTCGTGATGGTTCCTGCAATGGGTGGCTCAGCCGTGAGTTCATCATTGAATTTTTACTAGTATTTCATTTTCATATAGCATGGTTGTTCAGTTGGTGTGTTGCTTAATAGGTGCTGTTTGGATGCATATCTTTTAGGATGACACGGCAGCGGTGGTATCGACGGTGTTGCTAGTTTCGGGATTAACCACATTGTTGCACACATTGTTCGGAACGAGGTTGCCACTTGTGCAGGGGCCATCCTTTGTGTACCTTGCCCCCGCTCTTGCAATTATCAACTCCCCTGAATTCTTTGGGCTCAATGACAATGTATGCATTTCTTTCTGTTTATGTTATAGTGACACAACGCGGTCTCTATAACATGCTCGTGGCACATCTTGTAATGCAGGGCCTGTGAAATAAGTTGTCTAAGATTAACTCAAATTATATCACTGCAGAACTTTAAACACATTATGAAGCACCTGCAGGGAGCTATCATAATAGGAGGTGTATTTCAAGTGCTGCTGGGATATACAGGCCTCATGTCACTATTTCTAAGGTTTCGTCCCCTTGCTTCTAATAAGATACATTTCATTTTCATCTTAGCTGTCTGCTGCCGCTCTGACATGTCCATATGCTAATAGGATTTCGCCATGGACCTGATTGACCTAGGTAGTGAATAAATCGAGATTTGAACGATGCATGATCATAGGTAGCGAAATTTACTCTGGTAGTTTTGTGTTGCCGGCTTACCGCAAAGTAATTTATATTTCCAATATGAAGACGCAACTTTCACATAGCTCTACTGCGTAAAGAGTAATTTTAGCATTGTGTGATATCAACATAAATAAACATTTTAATGATCATTTCCCACTTTTGAGTACCATATTTATGGATTTGTATCTGAGTTAACTTTGTTTACAACTGCTGAAGCATGAGTATAGGATCGGCCTTTCCTTACCAACTTAGGCTTTTGGGCTAACTGGTTGGTGCATGCAAGTATGCAACTCAATACGGTATCAGAGCCAAGTTGTCACAACTTCAAAAGCAGTATTTCAATTTTTTTAGAAAATATCTGTAACCCACTATAGTCCACGTCATAGGCTTGAGGGGGAGCCTAGATATATCCCAGTATCATAAACATCTTTCTGTATGATGAATTCATTTGCTGGTGAAATAGATTGGCTTGGCATTGTGACCATGACCAAGCTAATATCGTTCTTTTGTTCTACAATTCAATATCTGTTTATTTCAGGTTGATAAATCCAGTTGTCGTCTCACCAACGGTTGCAGCTGTTGGACTTTCGTTTTTCAGTTATGGGTTCACTAAAGTAGGGTCATGTATAGAGATGGGCCTCTTGCAATTAATGATGGTCATTATCTTTGCACTAGTGAGTACACTAGAAATCTTGTTAAATGTTGTAATGACTTCTGCACTACTAATAGTTTATGCTGATATTTTTGTATTTCCCTTGGTGCAGTACTTTCGGAAAATAAAGTTATTTGGCTACCGGGTTTTTTTAATTTATGCGGTAAGATGGGCTAAAAGTATTGACCTGTTGTCTTCATTTATGCTGCATTACGGTTACTGTGATTGCATGAGATACTAACCTTTGAACTACTGATGTGCTGCCCCCTTAGGTTCCTCTTGGTCTAGGAATCACATGGGCTGTTGCTTTCGCTTTGACAGCAAGTGGAGTTTACAGCTACAAAGGTTGTGATGCAAATATTCCTGCTTCAAACAATATATCAGCCTTTTGCCGGAAGCATGTATTGAGGATGAAATCTTGCCGTGTAGACACTTCACATGCCTTGAGAGTTTCTCCTTGGTTCAGATTTCCGTATCCGTTGCAATGGGGCACTCCAGTTTTCAATTGGAAAATGGGCCTTGTGATGTGTCTTGTATCAGTTATTGCATCAGTTGATTCTGTAAGTTGGGATTTGTTTCAAATCTTCATCATATTGGCTTTACTTTATTTTATATGTTCTTCAAATAAGCTTGCAATGTACTCCCTCTGTAAACAAATATAAGACGTTTTAGATCACAATTTTAGTGATCTAAAACGTCTTATGTTTGTCTACTGAGGGAGTATTACATTGTGTCTGTAGACATAGTTAACTTATTTGAAATGATCTACACTATAAAGAGTCTTTGTTAACCATCAACTCGAAATAAGCTTCCTTCCCAGACACATGTCTTACTATTGTTCTGATTACCTGAAATTGGATCTTTATGTAGATAGTATACTGATGGAACCATTGAACGCTCATCATAATCAAAAATCCTATCTTCTAACAATTCTGCTGTGTTCACTTGACTTAAGGTTGGTTCCTACCATGCGTCATCTTTGTTTGTGGCCACAAGACCACCAACAGTTGGAATTGTTAGCAGGGGTATAGGCGTTGAGGGTATCTCCACAGTCTTGGCTGGCCTGTGGGGAACAGGAGTTGGATCAGCAACAATAACAGAAAATGTACACACGATCGCTGTGACTAAAATGGGTAGCCGCAAGGCAGTTGGATTTGGTGCTATTGTACTTATACTTCTCTCTGTTGTTGGTAAGTAACTACGTGCATTTGTCTTGAGTCTTGACATAAAATGCTCTTACACAATATTGTAAGAGCAAACATCATTTAGTCAGGTGATAGCATGCATGGTTCTTGCTGACAACTATTTCTCTATCTCATTTGTAGGAAAAGTTGGTGGTTTCATTGCTTCCATCCCTGATGTTATGGTTGCTGCTCTCCTTTGTTTCATGTGGGCCATGCTCTGTGCTCTTGGCTTGTCCAATCTTCGTTATGGTGCCACAGGAAGCTCGAGAAACAGTATTGTAGTTGGGCTAGCATTGTTTTTATCCCTATCAGTTCCTTCATACTTCCAACAGTACGGATTACTTCCGAACACAAACTCATCAGTTCCAACCTACTTTCAGCCATATAATGTTGCATCACATGGGCCTGTAGACACTGGATTTGTTGGGGTATGTACTGAACTTTCCATCTTTTGCATCAGTATGTTTTACTCTCTACTGTTTAAATGACAATTGCATGGTTATATCTTCATACTATAGTTTAAATGATGATTGCATGATTGTGTTTTGTTGATAAAAATGCACAAATTCTATTGTCAATTAGAACTCTTCATACCGTTTGACTAGTAGAAAAGAAGATATTTGGTTTGGACCAAGCATATGCTAGGGTACTGGGATTGTCCTATGGATCACTTGATATATTTGGAATTGCTACTAAAGAACTACTACCATTTTGACAAACAATCTTATGTACAACTTTTTTTTGATAATTTGCTACTCAAAGTCACGCTTCAACTGAAAACTGATCCAGCCTATGTTGTCTCAACATAGCCATAGCCGGTCCCAAGCCTAGGTAGGAGGGTTGTGATAGACTTGGTGAGCCAACGTCATAACTCAACCACTCTTATGGATGTGAAACCTAGAAGAACATCCTTGGGGCGTAACTGTAAAGCCCCGGCCAAACCCACTCGTTCCTTGTCGTTGTGCCTGGCTACCACCTAGGATCTAGACTGGCCCCACTGACCAACACTAGTCTTTCCTGCGCACTTTGTCCTAAGTCCTAACTCGTGCGCACCCAGAATCAACTTCCCAGTCGGTCACCCATCCTTTCGGATGGGCTCCTAGAAAAGAAGGTGCACTTTGTTGATATGAGTGGTCTATCATTCCTATTAAGCCAGGATGCCACATACACCCCCACTCAAAGGAACCAACGTCCTCATTAGCGCAGCAGGAGCACATGTATCATGGCGTGTGCCATGATGGGCCACACGCGCCATGCGCCACATGCCCACAAACCTGACCCGCACACGCTCCTGTAACCATGCTCTGATACCAATTGTAACGCCCCGGCCAAACTCACTGATTCACTGACCGGTTCCTGGTCGTTGCTCCTGGCTACCACCTAGGATTTAGACTAGCCCCACCGACCAATACTAGTCTTTTCTGCGCACTTTGTCCTCACTCGTGCTCACCCGAGATTAACTTCCCAGTCGGTCACCCATTCTCAAATTGCTCCAAGCCAAGCACTCGTAACTTTGAGGTTCCTTTCGGATGAGCTCCAGGAAAAGGTGCACCTTCTTGATATGAGTAGTCTATCATTCCTATTAAGCTGGGATGGTCATAATAACCCTCTTAGTGGCGCCATATTGGAACCCAGGTGGGTCTTAAATGGGCAAGGGCTGGGCCGTCACCCCCTTGTCGCGCCGTATCTTGATCTAGATACAGTGATAAGTGAGCAAGGATCGGTCATCGCATCCTTAGTGGCACGCTACATTGATGCTCGGGTGTAGTGAAAAATGAGCAAGGCTCTAGTAGGACGCATGGGTAGCTGGAAAGTAGGGTCCCTAATGGGTAAGTTACGGGAGTTAGTTAATACAATGGAGGAGAGACGTTGATATCCTATGCATCCAAGAAACCAAATGGAAAGGGACAAAATGCTATAGGACGGCAATTTGACCTCCGATGTTGTATGGTGTTGAACGTTGGCCAACTAAAAGGCAACATGTCCAATAGTTAGGTGTAGCGGAGATGCGCATGTTGAGATGGATATGTGGTCACACAAGAAAGAATCAAGTCCGGAATGATGAGATACGTGTTAGAGTTGGGGTAGCACCAATTGAAGAGAAGCTTGTCCAACATCGTTTGAGATGGTTTGGGCATATAACACATGCCCCTAGAAGCGCCAGTGCATAGCGGACAGTTAAATGTGCTGATAATGTCAAGAGAGGTCGGGGTAGACCAAACTGACATGTGAGGAGTCTGTAAAGAGAGACCCAAAGAACTGGAATATCACCAAGAACTAGCCATGGACAGGGGTGCATGGACGCTAGCTACCCAGAACTGTGACTTGGTTTCGAGATCTTACGGGTTTTAACTTTGGCCTACCCCAACTTGTTTGGGACGTATGGCTTTTTTATTGCTGTTGTTGTTGAGTGTGTTTTTACTTTGTAGTGAATTTAAATACTTGTAAGGTAAATGTTCACTATTGTGGATTGTCGAGTGACATCTAGTGAAGTGTAGTTTGTGACCTGTATGCTTGGGTTGAGGCCCAAAATGCTAATTTAGTTGTGCTTTCGTGCGAAAAAGGCATTTGGTGGACGGGCTCCAGGTAGCACTTTATTCATTTTTCTCAAAAGCTTTATTTCCAGAGCGCAAAAAAATCTGAAAAGTGTGCATAAGCATATTACATGTATTAGTATTTACGTAGGAAGTTTAATCGTGATTCTCTATTTACCCGCATCTCAGGTAAACTACGTCCTCAATACGGTACTGTCACTCAATATGGTGATTGCATTTCTGGTTGCTGTCATACTCGACAATACAGTCCCTGGTGGGCGCCAAGAGCGGGGCTTGTATGTATGGTCAGAAGCAGAGGAGGCGACAAGAGAACCATCCTTCTTGAAAGACTATGAACTTCCTTTCAAGATAGGGCGGGCGTTCAGGTGGGTCAAATGCATGGGCCTATAGCATGCGTGTGACTCTCCGGAGTTTGAATGGGTCTACTTGCGACATCACACGCGAAAGAAATGGAGCCCGTCATGTTCCATGACGGACCGTTTCCCGAGCAGAGGTACTGAGTGTATATTCCGATTAATTGCTCCTTAGGTTAGTTCTCCTGTCCTGACGCTTGACGCATGGGACGAATTTTCCTAGTATTATTATCTTGACTAGTGTGTATTATAATTGAGGGATTTTGCTCTTTCTATATTAGTAGCTTTAGGGGGTAATCATATGTATATGTGGATGCGGTAAGTGGTCTGAACTAAGCATGGATACAGGAATCAAATATCTGACTTCCAACTTGGTCAAATCGGAGGTCTCTTTGCATACAATATTCTGTGCTGAATTTGGAGTGTAGGTGTATGGTCTTACTGGCATTTGAATCAACTCTTTAAGTCTCTTTTCCAATCTCTCAGCTAGGGATGCAAAGTTGTGACCCCCACGGCACCCTCTGTTGAACTAAAATTTCAAAAGTTATGCGACTTTGGAAAATTCAGTTCATTTATTTGAACTAAAGAGGTTCAGAGAATACCCTAAAGTTCCAGCGAAGGCAGACTGGAGGGGCAGCTGCAGCGCACAGCTCGAGCGTAGCACTTGCAGCGACACGCCATGATGGCTGTTGCAACTGGAGGCAACACACGTGAGATGCATCCACCACGGCGTTGCGCGGGGCAAAAGGTGCGGCGAGATTGCTCCAGAAGCAAAGGTCACGCACTTGGCTGTCCTGTCATCATGAGTGTTGTGGATGCCTTTAGGCCAACTCCACCGCGTGACCCTATCCTGTCCGCCCCCGTCCGTTTGGGGTAAAACAGACGAATAGTGCAGCCCAGCGCACGGCCTCAAACGGACAAATGTCCGGATTCCGTCTGTTTTCAACCCATCCTCGGCCCAAACTTGCGCTCGGTTTGGGGTGAAACGGACGCGCGCGGACGGCTTGGACGCACGCCCTTGTCCCCCCTGGCCCGCCTGTCGGGGACACGAGCAGTCCCTCCGCTCCCAACGCTTCCACCCTCTCTCTCGCCCCGCCCCGCCGCCGCTATTCTCCGGCCGCCTCCTCACCGCGCAGCCTCCCGCCCGTGCTGTGACCGTAGTTTTGGCCGTCGATCGGAGGTTTGGCCTTCGACGTCTTTGCTGGCCGCAGAGGGGACAGGACCGCCGGCGACGCAGCACGGCGTCCTCAGCAGCTCCCGACGAGAGCTCCATAGCTGCCAGTAGCCGGCCGGCAACCACCCCTGCCGCGTCGAGGTGATCATCGCGGCCTCTTCGCCACCACGCCCGCAAGGTGTTCGGCATTTTGCCCACAAAGGTATGGACAGTGGAGACGAGTTTTTCTTCCATCACTTTCTTTGTTCATCGGACGATTCGTCGTCGGATGATGAAGATATTGTGGTGGCTGCACTGGTCGTTCACGACCACATTCAACGGCAGCTTCCTCGGTACAGGGGGTCACTCCCTGGCCGTGCTCCCAACCTGAACCGCAACAGGGAGAGAAGGCACGCCCTGCTCTATGCCGATTACTTTGCCAACACCCCGCTCTTCAAGCCGGATAAATTCCGTCGCCGTTTTCGAATGGCAAGGCATGTGTTCAATCGTATCCGAGAGGGAGTGGTTGCTCATGACCCATACTTCGAGTGCAAGACGGATGCCCTTGGCAAGCTTGGATTCTCCTCTTACCAGAAATGCACCGCGGCCATCCGCATGCTTGCATATGGAATTCCAGGCGATCTGGTGGATGAGTATGTGCGTATGAGTGAGACAACATGTCTGATGTCAATGTACAAGTTTTGCCAGGCTGTGATCGAGGTGTTTGGCCCAGAGTACTTGAGGTAGCCAACTGTCGCTGATACAGAGAGATTGTTGGCGACCAACGCAGCTAGAGGCTTTCCAGGCATGCTTGGCAGCATAGATTGTATGCACTGGGAGTGGAAGAACTGTCCATTTGCTTGGCAGGGCCAGTACAAAGGGCATGTCAAGGCGTGCACTGTCATATTAGAAGCGGTGGCATCACATGATCTTTGGATATGGCATTCTTTCTTCGGCATGGCATGTTCTCACAATGATATCAACGTGCTGCAGCGTTCTCCAGTCTTCGCGAGGCTTGCAGAAGGCCACTCCCCACCTGTCAACTTTGAGATCAACGGCCACCATTACAACAAGGGATACTATCTAGCAGATGGTATATATCCTTAGTGATCAACTTTTGTGAAGACAATCTCGAAACCCCAAGGTGAGAAGAGAAAGAGATTTGCCCAAATGCAAGAGAGTGTTAGAAAGGATGTGGAACGTGCTTTTGGTGTGCTTCAATCCCGGTGGGGTATCGTTCGAAACCCTGCACTGTCATGGGATGAAAGGAAGCTTTGGGAGGTGATGACTGCTTGTGTGATCATGCACAACATGATCGTCGAGGACGAGCGTGATGAGAGTATCTTCGACCAAGGATTTGACTATCAAGGTGAAAATATTGAGCCCCTGCACCAAGACCCGGCCACATTTGAACAGTTTGCTCAATTCCATCGTGAGATGCGTGATTGGCACTCTCATTTGAATCTTTAAAGTGACTTGGTTGAGCACGTGTGGGATCACATTGGCAACCAATAGATGTATTGGTCCATTTTATGTTTAGTCATGACAATTTTGATTTGGTTGTAAAAATATTTTATTAAATACAATTTCAATTGGGTTGTAAAACTATTTTAATTTTTAGACAAATATTTGAGTTGTAAACTAGTTTTGATGAAAATTTGGGCATTTTTGGCCCTGACGGACAGGATAGGGCAAAAGAATGCGTCCGCACGGTGGACGCACGGCCACCACATCACAGGACACGACCAGACACGACCCCAAATTGCTACCCAAACAGACAGAATCTGGACAAAACGAACGTCCGTTTGGGATCGCGCGGTGGAGTTGGCCTTACAAACGCCGAGAGAGGATGGGCAAGGGCCGGAGATGGAGCGGGCACGCCAGGACGAGTGCATCGCCCGGCTGCCAGCCGCACAGAAGACCGGCCAGACGACAGCACTCAACCGGAACTGTTTGAGTTTCAGTCACCTGCAGGCTGCCTGCAGGGTCTCACTAACGCATGCAACCGGCCAAAAGCGACGCAACTTTTCCTGTCTTGCCTTGGGCGAGGTTAGCACGGATGTCAAGCAAGCAATGGCATCTTTACATCCACTGCCGGTGATTCCGGTGAACAAACTGGCTGTGCTTGCTTGACAACGCTGCTGCAGAGCATAGCATGCACGCCACTGTCTGTCATCGGACCACAAGAAAAAGCCGACCAACACACGCTATAGACAAACAATCAACGGCAAACACACGCTACAGCATCAACTTGTTAGAAATGGTGTAATCATGCAGCCGCGGCTGCATGAACGGGTCCGCGTCTCCAAGAGGACCTCCTCCCTTCCTCAGGTCTTCCGGCAGTCCTGGGATCCCGGAGACGAAGCCTGAGCCCGGTGGAACATTGCACCTACCAGAAGTAGGAGGATCATACAACTGCTTCGCTGAAGCTGAAACCCCAGCACCATCATCATCTCTGTATGTGTCGTGTCGAGCAGCCACAACCTCAATCGACCTGAGCTCTGCATCGTGCCCGTTACTAATTGCTGGCAGCGTCTCGTCCTTTGGGAATGAGTCTGTCGGCAGCCGGAACAGGCCCGGACTGCCGACGGGGACCTTCACCTCGTCCTCTCCGTCGCCATCGTCGTCGCCCGGGGCCGGGAGAGCCAGGATCTCCTGCTGAGGTGGGCTCGGGTTCTCCGAGAGTGCAGTATCGGCGCCATCGGTCGAGCAGTTTGCGCTTCCATGGTCATGGTAACCATGGTAGTCCTCCGGCGCTGGGAGGGCCAGTATTTCCTGCCGAGACGGGCTCGACCCAACGTGTCCATCCCTGTAGGAACTGCTGCCGTCGTCGTCGTCGTTGTAGAGGTCGGTACGGTACTCATCACCCGGCGCCGGGAGCGCCAGCGTCACCTGGCTGGGCGGGAGCGGCCTGTCCAGCTTCTGCCTCAGGGAGATCCTGGCGCGCTGCAGGGCCTGGAGAACGCTCTCCACATCGATGTTGCCCTGCTGATCGTCGGCGTGGTCGTGGAAGCGTGACGAGCTCCAGTCCGAGACCTTGCTGACCGACGGGCTCGACTCCGATGGCGCCTTGACGGCGCCGAGCCCGGACGATGACGCGGAGGTCGTGTATCGGCTCGAGCAGCCGTCTGAGTTCGCGTCTCCTTGCTGGTCTTGGCTTCGTCTTGTGGCCGTGCTATAGCTGGAGCTTCCTTGTGCTGATATGGCAGGGGTCGGCGCCATTTCTTCTGATGAATTCTTGGGTGGTCTGGAAACGACGAGTTTTTCACCACCTGATTTCGTCTGTAAATGGCAATCTGCCTCGACATCACCCTGCAGTTTGGAAAGCAAAAAGTATGGGCCAAATCGGTGTAAGAACTGTCGCCTACGGCAACATTCATCATGTCAAATCTCCAATGCTCGACGAAAAAACATCAAGGCCACATCCATATCATTCATGATGCTAATAGCTCTGCGATATTTTGACAGAATAAATGAATTTGTTGCAAATCTCATTCTCAATTTCCATGCACGATCGGTAGTAGCAGTAGTAGTGGTACCTTGTTGGGTGAGCTCCGGGTGTCGTTGAATTTCTTCTCCCAGTCGGTCTGAGCCTTCTCCTCGGCCTCGTACTGCCCGATCAGCTCGGCCTGCTTCTCCAGCACCCTCTCCATCTCCCCGTCACCATCGTCGCGCCTCATCACGTACTGACCACCACCGTCCCCCGAGCTCCGCCGGTCGTCTCCGCCCACCTCGCCGTCAAACTCGGTCCGGCCATCATCATCGGCGCAACGCGGTCCGTCTCGCTGTTCCTTCCGACTCTCCGCGACCACGGCAGCAACGCTACTGCCATCGTTGAGCATAACAGAAGTGCACGGTGTCAAAATTTTTGACAAGAATGGCATTGTAGAGTTCAATCTTTAATTGCTCATCTACGAACGAGACGAGAAGGAGAGTCAATGGCGGGACCTGAGCTCCTTGCGCTTGTTCTTCCGGCAGGACTGGCCCATCCGGTACTTGGGCGAGGGGTCCGACTGCGAGGCCAGGAAGTAGACGTAGCTCCGGCGGTGCCGCTGCTTGAGCTGCCTGGCCCTCCGCGGGCTGGCGCACCGCCCTTTCCACGACAGCCCGCCGGGCTGCAGCGCCGTCCCGGAAGTCGCGTCCTCCTCCTCCTTCCTTTCGCCCTTCGCTGGCGGCTGCTCCTGCTCCTGCTCCGGTCCCTCCTCGCCGTGGGAGCGGGGCGCAGGATCGCCGCCGGTGACCGTGGCGTCGCATGGCTCGTCCCGCTCCTCCTCCTCGGCGTCGTCGGAGCCCGAGTCGAGCACGTCCGAGAGGCTGCCGCAGAAGCCCCGGGACTCCAGGACTGCCAGCACCTCCGCGGCCTCCCGCTCCGCTTGCCGCCGCTGCGCCGTCACCGCCCGCACCTGCTCCTCCAGCTCCGCGACCTGAACGAAACGCACGAATCAATGGCACTGCCACAGCGACACTGATATTGACAAGAATGCGCGCGCAGCATGCGTACCCTGGCGGCGAGCTGGTCGGCGCGCTCCTTGGATGCGCGGGAGACGGAGCGCTCGGAGAGCAGGCGCGCCCGGAGGAAGTCGATGGTCATGGGCGCCGCCGCCGCCGCAGGGTCCGCCATCCGCACGCTCAAAGCCTCAGCATGCACACGCCAAAGCTGCAGCACCAGCACAGCCCGCTGTCGCCGGCCCGGTGGTCGCCTGCCGCACTGGACGAGAGCTACCCGAGCCGCACGTACGACGTGCTACTGAAGTGGACTTCCGAACTCACTCCCGGGGAGCGGGGCGTGGGGCAAGAATACAATACAATTGACAACAACTCCACGCTCCTCGACGCTGTACGGTCTACACCAACACGGCACCCACCGGCCACCGTCACGCCACGGTTTGGTCCTCTCGTGCCGGTGCTCGTGCTCGTGCTCGTACGTATTAAAAAAGTGGCATGTCGCCCCCACGCGCGCGCGCACCGACAGCGCGTAGCGGTCGTTCCACGAGGGCCATGGGATCGAGCCCCAAGCTAGCGCAACGGTATCGCTGGCTGTTCCGTCAATTCACAGTGGCGAATGGCGATGCCTCACCTGTCGCCCCTGCCGTGCTGTGGACAAACGATTTTCTGGCTGGACGGAGGTCCTCCCTCCCTCCTTGCATTGGGGTCCGTAGTTTATCATGTCGTGCGCGGTACAGCGGAACTGCTGTGCTGTCCAACTGGCTGGGCTGCAAAATCCAAAATGTCGCTGGGATCACGCACGATTGTCATGCCCCGCCTGGAATCTTTTTGTGCCTGGATTGGATCCAGCGCCTCACCAACCAGCCTCCCTCATATATACGGCCGCACGGAAAACCTCCAACGACTTGCTATGACCTCATTTAAATCAAGCTCACCGTCTCCAACAACAAGAAGAAAATCAAGGTCAGCTCCGCGTACCACACCAAACAAAGAGGCCATGGCGAAATTGCAGCGCACCGAGTAAATAATAATATCAAGCACGCACGTTTCTATTAAGCCATTATAAATGCACACCCGCACTTCTTCTCTCATACAGTACTAGATCTGTGCGCAACTTCAGGCCTTCCTAGGATGATAATGATGAAGCAATGGATAAAAACTGGATGACCGATTGTGTACAGACTACAGCCGCAACAGATATCTGCCAAGTGCTTACATTACAGGACGAATTGTTCTTTACTAGAGAACACGATTAAGAAACATCTAGAATGCTCACTTTAGAACCATGGATTCGACGACACATGCTGAGTACGCATAACTAGTCAGTTAGTCGCCGCTGGCACATCCCTTGCAGCCACAGTGGACGCATTCGATTACCTGCTCCTCCCTCAGGTGCTTGGGGACCCGGCACACGCATGTAGTCGCAAAGTTGTGGTCTCGGGTCTGGATGCAGCGGAGGCAGCAGAGGCGCTCGTAACCCGGCTGCACGCACACAAAAAGGAAGCAACGAGTAAGAATACCTAACGGATCACAGCAACTAAACACACAACAGAGCAATAAGTGATTGTTAGGAACAGAAGGAAAACTATGAAGAATGAAGTACGAAGGGAGTTTTGTATTCAGAGGTTCTGAAACATTTCTAGCTACATGTCAAGTGCTACAATTAGAAAAGGTCTGTCGTGGCAGGAAGAGCATGGCTACAATTAGAAAAAGTCTGTTGTTATATTTAAATGCCATGATCACCTAATCAGTACATGGCTATGAAAGATTGATAATGACGGTGTCTGTTAGGAGCTGGTTAGGACTAGGCAACTGCACTTTCGCACAATGTAGTACTAGGCCTACACGGGGTCACATTTTCTGCCTGGTTTTAATGAAGGTGAAAGACCTCTTTCTTCAGTTCTGTATGGAACTATGGAAGAAGTGGGTGTTTGTACCAGGACAACTTCTGGGAGGGTTTGTGGGTGTCTGATGTTGTCAGTCTTTTTTAAAAGCCAGACAGGTTGTTTGGACTTACAAAAGATTTTGGCTAGTTAAGGTCCCTCTCAAAGTTAGAAGACTTTTGTAGTTAGCATTTAGGAATAGCATTTTAAACAAGGATAATTTGCTAAGAGGTTGGTGGCAGTGCAATAGAACATCCCTTCATCCTTTGTGCAGTAGCCTTGTTATGTATGGGAAGTAGCGGAATTCACTTTTGGTATTAAGACTATACCTGCATTGTTTAGTGAAGTACGTGAATGGATTAATAGATGCTCTGTAAAGCATATACAGTTCATGGCGGCAGCGGTTTCATGTGTGGTTTGCTTTGCTCCATATGGAAAACCAGGGACAGCAGACTGTTTAAATATTTCTTCTTCAGGACCCTGCTAATGTATGTTTCAGATTTCGCATTGGTTATCCTAACGGGCTGGCGAAGCCACCAAGCACAACTGCTGTTGCAAGTGACATCTGAAGTTTTCAGTCAACACCAGGGTAGAGGCCTCTGGTGCATAGGAATGAAGATTGCTGATAACAAAGATAAGAACAGGAAACTGGAGTTTTGTTGCCCGTCTCTGTTTCTGTATTTGTCCTTGTTATGGTCAGAGTGCTAGAGTGTGGCTTGGCAAAGTTATCATAAGTACCCTGGAGTCTGGGATGCTGGTAATGTAAGATTCCGGAGGATATTGGTAGGAAGGGTGGATGCACAAGCATGCCATGTATGGATGAGATCAATCTGGTGCATTATCAGTTTTATGAAATGGAATGGGAGCACCGAGCTACATTATAAAGTATGACCATAAGATATATAAGTTCCCAGCATTTGTTCTTTAACTTTAAATCAGTATTGCATTAAAACAGGGAATGAATAGAACATATAGCATGGGAAGCATGAATCAGGAACTCAATTTTATTGCACTACTACGGGTCTACAGCATGGTTAGACGAAATAAATAACATGTGGACCATGCCACCATCAAACTCCCTCCGTCCCATAATGTAAGACGTTTTACATTATGGGACGGAGGGAATACGAGATTATAAATAATAATACTCCCTCCCATCCAAATTACTTGTCGCAGCTTTAGTACAACTTTAAGATTGTTATCCACAGTTCATCTAGGTAAAGACTGACAAACGCTATAGAAGCAAATTCATGCTATGAATGAATTTCACATGTCACAGTTTTAGCCAGAAAAAACATCTTATATATGCAATGAGCACGGCCTACTTTACTAAGCAATTATAATTCTTTACTTCAGATGTCCAGAACACATACATTAAACTAAAGAATTGTTGAGCCTATTTGCTTATTTATAAAGGTGGCCGTATGCATCGTTCTGATGCAGAGGCCGGAGAGTCCCCCCTTTTTGAAAAAAAAATAATTAAACTAAAGAATACCATGGGTGATAAAAGCATACCCATGACGAACTCAGCTGCTAGTTTGACATCACAATTACAAAATATAAAGACAGGGTAATTTATTCAAGGTACATTTTGAGAAATACTATTGAGGCAGTTACTGTCAAGTGCGAATGAAAAAGATTAAGAGAGTGAAAACTTGATGGTGTGCTTGTTCATACATTTGAACTAACTTTGTACACTCATTAGTTAGTTAAAGAGTATCTAAGGTGAGAAGAAGTGAAGAATGCCACTCTAAGGTAATAAAAAAAATGTGTGCACGTGGAAATGATATGAAGCTTAGGAGACTAACCTTTTTCCACTTTGCAATCAGATTACGGTCTGCATAACCCTGGTCCAGGCAGAACTCATACAGCTCCTTTGATATTTCCTTCCTTTTATAGAAAAGATCATATATGTAACGGCTTCTTTGATGAGAAATGCGGAAAATTGGCCAGAGTGCTTCACACTTCCTCTTCCCGTCATGTGTATCGTTTTCAGCTGTGCGTGCAGATTGTATTAGTACTCACCCTATAGTACGAAATACCAACGGACATCTGAAAAGGTCGCATCAATAGATAGTATGCTTAATAACATGCATACCTTCTCTCATTTTGGCATCCAGCTCACGGATTGTGGGCTCGATAAGCACCCATCCTTCGGGGTATTCCACACGGCTTGTCTTTATCTTAGGCATACTGTCACAAGAGGTGTCCTAGGGCTGGCTTGGAATGCACAAACCTGAGAAGACACAGATAAAAAGGGTAAGATTCAAATAGCATATGCTTAAGCCACTAAACTCATCCAGATATGTGTGCATTTTTTAAAATAAAAGCAGGAAATGACAAACTGAATAAGGGTCCATTCTGATTCTAGCGCTAACACCTAAGTATTTCAAGCGATACTAGTAGCAAAAACAAATTCATCTCTCTCAAGAACAGGGGCGGATCTAGATGCTGCGCGGGGCGTGCACCGGCACGCCCAAAATTTGTCCACATTAGTTGGGGTTAAACTAAATCGTGGATGATGGAATGTTCATACCTCAGAAACGATGACCGAAATCGCCGGACGGGGTTGGGACGGCAGGGCGACGCGGTGGGGTTGAACGGGAACGGCGGTGGCGGCGACTCGCGTGAAAGGCGGAGGGGTCCGGGCGGCGACGGGTTGGGAGCCGCGGAGGAGAGGTTAGGGCACGGCGGCGGCACTGGAGCCGCGTTGGGTCGGATCGGATTAGGGTAGGGCGAGGGGGCGGGATGTCGGGAGGGTGAGGGCAAAAGACGGTGCCGCACCGGCATGTACAGCGAGGATGAATTTTGACTCTGGACATAATCAGATTTGATCGAAAAGAAAAGAAAAACTAAATTTACCAACCTCTATTTTGAGTTATACCCTTTTCCTTCTGTTTTCTGAAGAACATTCTTTCTTTCTTATTAGACTAGATTCTAGACTAAAGTAGTGACCTAAAACGTCGTATATTATTATAGAGAAAGAATTATATCAAGTTAGCATGTGGTTCATTTGTTCATATTAGCTGGAAAAATCCAAAAAATGGAAAATAAATAAAAGGCGGGGCACTTGGTTTTCAGCGTAAACGGGCGAGAAAAAATAAAGTATGGAGAGAGAGAGAGGAGGAGAATATATGCTGGGTTGAACGAAGGAGAAGCTGATGACAAAATATTACACTCTTTTTAATTAGTATAGATAAAATAAATAAGATTTATATATTTGATAAACACTTCTTTGATAACAACTTATTGACGTATCAAAGAAAACAAAAATTAGTTGATAGACACGTAGAAAGTGGGCAGTTGGTTTTCATGAAACCCCGTGCAAAGAACAAGTGTGAATAAAAGAAAAACATAAAGAGAAAGGGATGAGAATATAGATAAGTTTGGACGAAGGAGTAGCGGACAACAAAACCTTACTCAAAACAATTTGTTCTACACAAAAGTAAGGTTATTCAAGGAAAAGGAAAAGACAAAACAGTCTTGGCTGATTTTGCATGGCACAAGTGCTTTTTCGCTAGAAGAAAGTGCAACAAATTAGCTCATGAGATTGCGGCTACTGACAGGCGGACATGTGACATCTTCATTACTGACGTGCTTGAAAGTCTCAATGCCCTGATGTCGTTGGAGTGTAAACATCCCATTGAGTAAATTTACTCATGTTTTTTTAAAGACAAAATGGAGGGTGACAACAACATTTTTTGATATGGCTCCAGAAGCTCATAACCCTCGACATGTAAAGAGAAAGAGAGAGATGAGAAGGAGGGGGGTGATGGTTCATTTTGATTCATTCGGTGCTCTTCTCTAGGCAAATCCCTAGTATAAAATTGGCTTTGTGTATTATCTTTGCTGAATTATATCCCCTCTCCTATTAATGGAAGTCACCGAGCTCCTGTTAATTTTTTGAAAGAAAAAATATCTGTTTTGAAAGGAGTAATTGTTGGTTCATTTTGATACGATTGGTTCTTTCATGAAAGACTCAATTAGTTGATAAAATAAATATCAATGAGAATTAAAAAAACAAAAAAAACAGAATGATTCTTCATTACTACAAAAGTTGCACTTGAAGCTCTCTCGTCAGATCCAATTATATGAAACAAGTGAAAGAAATTTTGTTTCGGACACAAATTCAATGATACGTTCTTTGTCCGGAATTATTTGTCGCTCAAATAGATGTATCTACGTAAGTAGATTTCTAGGACACATCACTCATACAATCATACTCTTGATTTTATTTATTTTTGATTAAAAACAATGCGGTGATAGGTAAATACTCCCTCTGTTTCTTAAATATTTGTTTTTCTAGAGATTTTAACAAGTGACTACATACAGAATAAAATGAGTGAACCTATATTTTAGAATATGTTTATCCATATGTGATAGTTCATTTGAAATCTCTGAAAAAGACAGATATTTTGAAACGGATGAAGTACTTTACTAATAAGTATCCAACGGTTGAACTGCTTCAGGAGAAGCAGGGCCTTCGCCCGGCCGGAAGAGGCCAGTCATTAGTCCATGGTATGCGCCGGAATCTCGCGCTCCTCGCCGCCGCCGCCGGTGGTGGCGGCGCGCTCCCTCTCCCGTGGACGAAGCAGTCTCACGCGCGCCTTATCGTCGCCTCCCCTCGCATCCCCGATGACCTCCGTCTCCGCCTTCTTCGATCCTACGCTGCGCACGGCGAGTTCGCGTCGGCGCACCGCCTGCTCGACGAAGCACCCCGCCCGGCCTCGCCGCTCCTCTACAACGCTGTCATACGCGCCCACTCCCGCCGCCTAGACCTCCCCACCGCTCTCGCGTTCTTCGCCAGCATGCGACGCTCCGCCACCTCGCCCGACGCCCACACCTTCGCCTGCGTCCTCCGCGCATGCGCCGACTGTGATCGGCCAGCCGCCGCCAAGGTCCTCCATGGCATCGCGTCATCTTCCGGCTGGTCCTCCCATCCAATCGTCGGCAGCGCGCTCGTCAGCGCGTATTCAAAGTTCTTGCTCGTGGACAGTGCTCGCCATGTGTTTGATGGTTTGCGTGAGCCGGACCTGGTTCTCTGGAACTCAATGATGTCCGGGTATGGGTATAGGGAAATGTGGCTTGAGGGGCTTCAACTGTTTTCTGCGATGCGCAGGGCTGGGGAGGAACCAGACGGCTACTCGATGGTCAGCTTGCTCTCATCCTTCTGGGATCCAGAAGCGCTTGCTTTTGGTCAAGCAGTTCATGGAGTGTGTATCAAGGGCGGTTATGATTCTGGCCACCATGTGAGAAGCACACTTGTTTCCATGTACTTCAGGTGCGGCTGCGTGGAATCGGGTCAAACCTTGTTTGGTAGTTTGCTGGATGTGGACTTGGTTACATGTTCTTCACTAATTACAGGGCAATTGCAGACTGGCAAGTATGATGAGTCATTTGATTTGTTCAGAGAAATGTGCTACTCTGGCAGGAGGCCTGACGGCATCTTGATTGCTAGTCTTCTTTCGGCATGTGCTTCTACAGCCACTATCAGCTACAGCAAGGAGATCCACTGTTATGCAGTCAGGGTTGGCGCTGATAAAGACATCAAAGTCTCATCTTCGCTGATGGATGCTTATGCAAAATGTGGTTTTGCCGAGCTGGGATATTTGGTATTCCGCCAAATTCGTAAAAAGAACTCAGTCATGTACAATATGGTCATATCAAACCTTGGTTCTCATGGATTTGCGATGAAGGCCATTGAAGTCCATGATGAGATGGTCCGTGATAAGCTCAGGCCTGATGGTGCTACCTTCTCAGCTTTACTTGCTGCTTGTTGTCATGCAGGACTCTTAGACGAAGGATGGAAGTTGTTTAGGAGAATGAGGGATGAGTTCCACATAGTAGTTGAAATGCAGCATTATGTCTACATGGTGAGGCTTCTTGCAACGTATAACCAGCTGAAGGAGGCCTATGATCTTATACAGACAATGCCAATGCCACCAGATTGTGGCGTGTGGGGTGCATTACTTTGGGGGTGTTGTCTCCACCGTGATTCCAGCCTTGGTAGGGCAGTTGCTGAAAAGCTCTGTGAGTTGTATCCAGACAAGGCTTCTTACAAGATTATGCTTTCAAACTTGTATGCATCAGAGGAGATGTGGTGGGATGCTGAGGAGGTCAGGACCGAGATGTTGAAAGAAGATATGCACAAGAACACAGGGATAAGTTGGGTTGGGGATACAAGGAAATGATGGTTGGATTTGCATCATTGAGAAATATGCCGAACGTCAAGTACAATTGAACTCTGTATTGTTCTGGTTTTAGAGAAATGAAATATCTGAAATTGCTTGAAACTTCCTATTTTTTACCTTACCATTTGACAAAAAAATATTTTCTTGCTTTTTATTATTTGTGTAGAATTATTTCTGCTGTTTCTGAGTACAAAAATAAATTTTAGTATATATCCATGGAACTTTGTGTTGCTAATTTCTTAGTTGTTGATGTCGTGGAGTAATATAAGGTCGGAATGTAATATCTGAAGCACTCTTTCTAGTGGAGTCCTGCATTTTTCTTACTTGGTTCACTTGCCTGTATCTCCCTGTTAGCTATATATAGGTGTCATGTTAGCAATTCTGTAGTATTATATAAAGATCACTGCTTTGCAAAAAGTATTGTATGGTGCTTAATCTTGTATCACTTCTGTTTATTTCTTCTATAAAACCCTGTGAAAGACATATTAACCCTTTATTCCAGTCTAGCAATTTGCTACACAGATTTATTGAGTATTTCTAGATTGGCAACAAATTATTGTGACACATCATTTTAGTAGTTAAGTAGGCTGCCCTCACACAGAATAGATAATCTCTTACAATATTTTTTGAAAGAAAGTAGATCTCACATGTCGAAATGATATAATCAGCACAACTTTATCATTTTATGGCTCTGGCGATATTTAACGTATATATATCTTCACTTCTTAGTGCTTGATGATGAAGTTGAGGCTTAGTCAAGTAGTCAACTATAGTTGTGCTGGTGCAATGAAATCTTTTAAAGAAAGCCAAAGAGAGAGAAAATGGATTTTTTTTAATTGGTCAACATATCCTAAAGGCTGCAGCAAGCGGTGGTAGAAGCAAGGTTGGAATTTACCTTAGGTGTCAGAACTGTACTATTGTTTTGGTAGAAGATACTTGTTACTCTCATGTGCTAGCTTTATAAGAGTAGTACTCTTAGCTAGGTCGGTTTGATCAAGTCC